AACCCCCCCCCCCCCCCCCAAAAAAAAAAAAAAACAAACAACCTGTTAGTTTATGAATTAAGAGTGCGAAGTTTACCAGTGTGAATTCCGTTCACACAGTGTCACAGTGTGCGAAGTTCTACAATGGATATTCTACATCTGCTGGAGTTCTATGGGCCTGTAGTGAGTGTGACCCTGCCCTCAGCAAAATCCTTGAAAAGCATGTATCAGGGCATCAATACAACCACTTAGAAATCCACCTCTCTCCTATCCCCATTCCAATCAGGCTTCCGCCATCTCCAGTCCTGTTCCACTGCAGTGTCAAGGCTTGACAGATAGCTTCCTCATTAGTGTTGACCATGGATAAATGACTAGTGCCCTGTTTTTTAGACTTCTCCAAGGCCACTGATATTGAAACCATACCATTCTTCACATGCCATCAACTGGCTTCTCACCACCCTAGTACTGTTAACTTTCTCTCCCTGTATCTGTCCCATAGAAAATGATGCATTGCCTGTGCTGATGTTATCCTTACCCCACTTGAATCAAACCATGCCAATGGTCCCTCCTGAGGCTCAATTGTTGGTCCTCTTGTTTGCAGCTTGCATAAATGGTCTCCTGTCTGTCCTCAAGTGTAGTAAAGTTGAGATATGCAGACAAGACTAAAGACCCTTTGCACCTCCCAACTGCTTAACAATAATATCCCTCAATGATTGTAACTTTCATATTGTTCTAAACAGTGAACAAATCCTCCTTTTATAATTTATCGGTCTTGAATTTTATCTGGTGGCTGCGTCTCTCACAAACTGCACCACACTGAGACCCTTAGAAAAATGTTACATTCATCACACTTTATCTACCTAGTGGCTCCACTCTGAACTCCAAAATCTTCTTTTAACTTCCTTTATACTCCCTCACCTAAGCATTGTCTTTCAACCTTGAGAGGTATCTCTAACAAGGACCACTCGAGACTCTTGAATCGGGTCATCGAGAACCGTTTGCATTCGATCGCTCATGGACCCAGCCGATACCCTCCCGAAGACCTTTCCCTTTTGTGCTATTGATTCCTTCTACTCTTGATGGCTGACCCCTAATATAATCCTACAAAACCCTTCACAGCCTCAACCCATCCCATCTCTGCAGTCTCTTTGACTTCCTTTCTCATGTCACAAAAAACTTGGACTAAATCTAATAGAAACCTCCAAAACTCTGCCTGCCACCTCAAGAATGCCAACAGGACCTTCCAGTATAGAACCATTCAAAGGTGAAGCTTCCTTTCAAAACTAATCTGAGATTTTTTCTCCCCATGCAAGTGTGTTGCATGTGATTCCTCTATGAATGCATTTACCTTTTGGACTACCAGCAGCACACTACAGTGGGCATAATACAAGCTGTAATTCTTCCCCCCCCCCCC